TTCTTAATATCCAAAAGAATCAGTCGCTATTTCATTTTCATATAAAAAAAATAACATTTTTTTCTTTTTAATTCAACTATTGCTCCATAAATTAATATTCAATCAAGCCCTCTTATTGTATCATGATATATAATTTCTTTTATTCCAAATTATATATTTTCATTAGTATTATTAATAGATTATTCTCTTCTGTGGATTTTTCTCGTAGAAAAAGAATAATTCATACACAATAGATACAAATAGAATAACGTATCCATTCTTAACAATTTTTGAAGTTGCAAATTTACTCCAAATTAAAAAAGAATAAGATATTACTTTCTAGTTAGACATTACAACCGATATGAGCTTGTATGGGAGGGATTAAAATCAGATTAAAATTGAAAATATAGTCATTATTGACTTATTGTTGACTTTTATTAGACGGGTGAGACCCAATAACGGCCATATTTTCAATTTTAATTGGATTTTAAGCCCTCCCGAATGGGGCCTATCAATTGAAATATTTTGTTAATTACATAGTAATTAAGAATTTTTATTTGTTTTTATAATGTTGAAAGAGCGGAATGAAGTATTTTCTAACTTTTTTTAATATATTATTAACTTACTAAGCCCCTGTTTTGTAAAGACTTTTTGAGAATAGACTTTATGAAAATTGATTTTTATTTATTATTATTACTTATATAATGTATGATTAAAAAGCAAGGAAATAGGTTAACCTCCACCCATCACTGAGGGCCCGGGGATGGGTGGTCCAGGACATAATCTGATATAAGTTGGGATACCTGGATATTAAAAAAAAAAAAATACAGATAACTCACAATATGTGGGGCCCTTTTTTTTGACAATATTTAGTTCACACGAGGCTCACCCCCATGTGAATATGTGTAATTTTTCTGCATAAAATTTTTCTGTACAAAAAGAATTTTCCTTGTAAGGATTGTTAGAAGTTCAAACTTGTTGAATTTCGACTTTTGTAGTCACACTACCTAGGATAATAAGGATAATGTTGTACAGGGCCACATGGGCCCTGTACTTACAGGGGCGCCAAATGGCGCCTCCTATAGGTGGGGGGCCTCCCGGATTGACCTACCTATTGCATAGTATGGGACATTTTGCAAAATGACCTATGAATAGTGGCTTTTTAAGTTTTTTGTTAAAAAGTCAGTTTTACCCTTAATGAAATGGGTCATTTATTGCAGATCAAGTCCTCAATCCTAATAATTTTTTCGAAATTAGTTTTATTCTTGTTTTTATTCATCATCACTAGACGTTTCTTCTAAATCTGATTTTTCTTCAAATATTTCTTCATTTACTTCTCTTTCTTC